AATGAGAAACGATGGAAAGATGTGTGCAGTAAATAAAGATATCTAAATCGTATACAATTAGCGCTCAAAAACGATCATTCAAGCTGCATTCAAATCTACAGCCGGTCTACTTATAAAGCTACATCTACAGCTGTGTCTAAATCTATATACATTCCATTAAATCTAGAACTATTCTACATTAAAACTACGTGACATTTATGCCTACGCTACGTGCAAGCAACATTTAAGCTACACCCTAATTACATTGAGCATTATTTTATTTTGTTTGTATTTTATTATTTTTATTTTATTTTATATTTTATATATTTTTGTTTTTATATTATATATTATATTTATTTATTTATATTATATATTATATTTATTTATTTATATTATATATTATATTTATTTATATTATTATTAAATTTATATTTTATTTTTGTTGATTTGGATTGGTTGACGAACAGTTGCAATTTGGAGTCTCACTCGAGGTATTTTGCTGCAGAAGGTTTTAAGTCTGTTTTAAGTCTGTTCGCAATCGCAATCTTGTAGATATCGAAGCGGCTCTCTATGTTGTCTAGCTCTCTGCTTTGAAGCTTCAAAATCTCAAGCAATAGCGAGCGAAAATGCCTTCTTCAGCCTGTATCTGTGCTGGTATTTTGCCGCATATCCATTTTTGCTTACCACTTAAACGTGTCTCGTTTATTTTATTCGTTGCCTTTCGCTTAGTTTTTTTTTTTTTTGTCTGGCTTATGCTACGGGCCTATCTATCAGCAGCATCAGCAGCAGCGGCATCAGCAGCAGCAGCATCAGCATCAGCAAAATGTTATTTATAAATACCAAAAAGCGCATGAATTTTAATTAAGCGAAAGCCCCGCCAATTGCTTTGCAGCAGGGTTCAGGGTTTTTGGCGTGTGTGGCCTGAGCCATTGTCCATATGAAATGTTGATTGATGAGTCCCCGCAGTACAGCATCAGCAGGGAGACCCAGGGTATGCATTCCTTCCATCTATCGATTGTCGCCCTGTCATAAAAAAAACAGCACACACAAATGTCTATAAAGGGGAGTAGCAGGAGCAGCAGGAGACAGCAGGATCAGCAGGAGACAGCAGGCGGAGGAGTATATGCCAGGCCGAAGCTTATGCAAATCAAGACATGCCGCACACATCACTTTGTTTTACCAGCCATGCGCCCATTCCACCCCATCCCTGGCCCGTGCAGCAGTAGCTTGTCAAAACTTGGTTTTTTCCCCACATAAAAAAAAAAGAAAAAAAAAAAAGAAAGTGCTCAAAAAAAGTGCATATTGTTTGGGAATAGAGACCCAGGAATAGAGCCCAGGAATTTCTACAGCAGGAGCAACATTTTCTGCTGCTGCTGCTGCTGCTGGAACTGGAGTTGATTTTTGCATACATATTTCGCAGCGATAGCGCGCGATGTGGCATTAGTCTCCAGTGAACTGGCACATAAAAGCACAGTTATGGACTGATTGTCGGTGATGCCAGTGCCACTGCCACTGCCACTGGGACCCCAGTGCTATCCGACGTACGTGTAAATTGCCAGCCATCTATAGGGCTGCCTGCCCCCTTTGCCACTGTCTGTTGCAGCAGGCGGCGGCGGCAGCGGCAGTGGCAGCGGCAGCAAGTGTTAGTATTTCAAACTTTTGTTCAATAAGATTTATATGACTGACAGGCAGGCAGGCAAGCAGGCAGGCAGGCAGGCAGGCAGTCAGGCAGCATGGGTTGTGGCATGCAGCACGGGCGCAAAAACAAGTTTTGATTTTCGATTCTACTTGGTATTTTTTGTTGTTGTCCCCCCCTCGTTTTTTTGTGCACTATTTCACAGCTTAACTACGCGACGTTTGGCAACCAGGATGCCGCGGGAGAGAGAGAGGTCCTTGGCCAAAACAAAAACAAAAAATGTTTGCATTTTACAGCAACAGCAAAATTGTTTGGAGGATATTCGTGAGCTTTGGCGGAGCGATTTTTGTAGCGGCTTTAACTGAATGAAAATTGTGAATTTTTTTCAAAGAGAGAACAGAGCGAAAGAGAGAGAGAGAAGAAGATTAATTGTTGCGCCTTGCTGGGTATTTCTGGAATAAGAATTAATGAAATATACTTCAGATACTTCAGCTAATAGTCAGAGTTACAGCTGCACATAATATGTACATATGTGTGTGTGTGTGTGTGTGTGTGTGTGTGTGTTGTTGCCTGGGGATGCTTGACGTAATAAGGCACCATTTTCATTGTTGGATTACAGCCGTTGAGCGCCATTGGAGGAGCAGATTGTTGTTTTGCTTGGCGGCAACGTATTAACAGTATCACCCAGCCACGAGCCAACAGGAACCAGTCCCCCCGCGCCACACCACTCAAAGCGCAGCTCAAACCTCTGCCGCAGCAGCAGCCTCTTCACTTAAGCTTCATGCCACAAACACACGAACACGAACACGAACACAGCTACAGAAACAGCTCGAGGACAGCCGCCATAGCTTACGCCTGCCCCAATAGATTGACTAGGCGACTGACGGCGGACGATCCCTGTTATTGAAACCACTCGAGCGCGAACAGTGGTTGCACCGAGGGGTATATACATATATATATATATATATATATATGTAGTATAGAAGGGCGGGTAGGGGTACGTGCATAGGTCTACAATAATTGCCTGCACTTTAAGTGCGCCATTAGTACTAAATTACAGACACAGCCAGCAGCAGCAGCAGCAGCAGCCCACCCAAGCGGCAGCTAACGGCGCGGTCTAATTACGCGCTTACCTGCAGCACCCACAGCGCCCACCCACCAACTCCTCATAGGGAGCAGCAGCAGCAGCAGCAGCAAAAGTAAAGTGCGCTAATGGCAATTAGAAGTTTTAGCCCCGCCGATTGCAGTAGTCGAAAAATGAGTGTAACGGCTGCCCGCCCAGAGCTAAGAGGAAAAGTGGAAAAGCTGTGCGAAAAAAGTGGAACCCAAAGCCGAAAGCTGGGTGCCTGGGTGCCTAGGAGCCTGGGGAAAATGCTGCTGCATTATTGAACATTTGGCTAATTGCCGTATAATTATTGCAGTTAAAAAATTTACCAACGATAACAGCTGGCAAGGGCAGGGGCTGGGGCTGGGGCGGGGCGGGGTTGGGCAAGGGCCAAGCGCCAAGCACAAAATCCTTGACCCGTAGGAGCTAACAGCAGGCAGGCAGGGGGCGTGGCCATTGTTACACTTGAATATTCTTGCTGCATTACGTATACGATGCGGCAGGCAGCCACAAAACAGGAGATGCAGCAGTCAGTGCAGGTAGCAGACAGCAGGCAGCAGTCAGTGTCAGAGACAGAGACAGAGATGCATTGCCACATTATGCAGTTGCAGGGGTGGCTGGGATTGCAGCAGGTGGCACTGGCTGCCTCCCATCTAATGCAAATATTATGGCAAAATCTCATAATTAAGATAAGCATATCGGTTGAGTGGTTTTAATGAAAATCAAACAATTGACAAATGCAACAATCACACACAGAGAGAGAAACAGTACGAACGAACGAGAGAGAGAGAGAGAGAGACAGCAAGAGAGAGAATGAAGTGCAGCTAGCGGCCCTCTCCTCTGTACGTATCCTTAGCCTTAATATTTAATTAATACTTAGGCCGTGTTTGCCAAACGTATTGGTTGCTGGCTGTTGCACCATTGGTAGCCATGGCTACCTACCACCCTACCACGGCTGGCTACCTGCATAATTATTTTGGCAGTATTTTGGCCTTAGCTCTCTGGCGCTGGCATCACATTACAATGTCCGAGCACAAGAGGTCTTTGAATGTTGAAACAGAAACAGAAGGCAGCAACAGCAACAGCAGCAGAGCCGCTCCTGCCTCTTCTGCCTCACGTAATGAACTAATGAACCGAAACTCTAATCCATAAAATACATTGAAGGGCTGCTCAAGCTCTCAATGCGTATGTGGCTGGCTGCTGCAGTTACTATATGTGAACGTCTATAGATATCAGGGGGGAAATACACATGTAACGACATCAGGTTTAATAGGACGGCAAATAAAAGAAACGATTTCGGCATAACAAATATGATTAAATATTGATTATTAAATAAATATTAATAATAAATATTAAATAAATCTTAATAATAAATATTAAATAAATATTAATATTAAATATGATTATTAAATAAATATTAAATATTAATATTAAATAAATATTAAATATTAATATTAAATAAATATTAAATATTAATCTTAAATAAATATTAATATTAAATATTAATATATTTAATATTAATATTTAATATTAATATTAAATATTGATTAAATATTTACACTTTTTATTTTATATTTTAAATTTTATTTATACACATGGATATCTATGTATGTATGTATATATTTACTTATATTTCTATTTTTTAAGCTAACGTTTCAATTAGATGTTTATAATTGAAGTTATCAACTGTGGATTAAAATCAACGAAAATAAATAACCCCAAAAATATATAGGAGCTTTGCTTGCATCAAAATATGCAGACAAATAGCATACGACTATTCTCTGCCTTTGCCTGCAAGTCCCTGCCTATTCTTTCATGTCCCAAAATGCCAGAAATTCTTATTAAAATTTACAGTGCAATTCCCCCGACGCTGATCTCACCCTGCGCTTAATACAGATAAACACAATGCTCGATGGGTTGGCTGTTCCTCTGCCTGGCAATCGCTTGCACGCTCGAAAGGCGAAGGAGACGCTGAAAGGGAACTACGCAAAACTGTTGTTGCTGGAATTTACATTGGGTTGCTGCCTGCGACTGATCTGTCGACTTCACGCAGGTAGCAAAGCAAAGCACAAACCCAAAGCTCACAACCCAAAGCTTTTCTGTTGTTGCAGTGCTCTCTCGTGCTCTACAGCAGAACATCGAATGGGAAGTTGAATCTGCAAATGAATGAAGACGCTTTGTCGAAGTGTTCGAAGCAACCCACCCACCCAAGTACCGAGTACCGACTGGGGGCAGTTCTCGTAAATCAAAGTAGCTTTTGCTTCGTTTAACAAATCACATTCGCATCGCAGTTTACTTCTAAAATTCATTCTTAGCTGTTATTTCACTAGAAACACATTTCTCACTTGAGCCACAAACCAAAACTAAAATTTTCTTTTCAAAATGTATGCGGGGTAAGTACACCGCAAGAAAAGCGCCCTAAAGTGCACCCTAAAACGCTCTCTGCCCTTACCTCCCAAGACGTTTCGTCACACGCACGCTGCCGCGGTGCACGCCCTACTTAAATCACATGCTTAGCTGCCAAAAGCCAGTGATGAGGGCCAGACTGATACCGATGCTGAACACATTTCGCTATCTGTGCGCCAAGCCGCCGCCGCCACCGCCGCCGTCAGCTGCAGGCGGTGGAAGCGGAGCCGGAGCAGCAGTCGTTGAGTTGCCGCCGACGGGCATTATCCTGAAGATAATTAAGGCCAGGATTGCGCCAGAGCTTGGCTACGATGATCGCAATATGCGACTGGGACGCATACTCTCGCCCGCTCTGTCGATCTACAAGAAACAGCTGACATCGGTGCTCTCCATCCTGCTGCGCATGTCCGGCTTTGCCATGACGCTGGCCGTTTGGGCACTGGGTCTCACCGGTTTGTTCTCCAAGCGCAGCCTTGCCGAGTGGGCGGAGGAGGTGAAGAAGTGCGAGTGCAGTCCGAACATTGTGAGTGGCGTCAAGTTCGTGATGATCTTTCCGTTCGCCTATCATGTGGTCGCTGGCACGCGTCATTTGATCTGGCATCTGGATATGTTCCTCACCAAGCCGGCGATCTATGCCACTGGCTATGCGGCTGTGCTGTTGACCTTTGTCCTGGCTGCAGGCATGACCCTGCTAAATACCGGTGAGCAGACCCAAAAGGATGTTGTCGACTTGACTGAGGCGGACAAGAAGAATAAGAAGGCGGCTGCCGAAAAGCAGGCAACGGCAGAGGCCAAGGAAAAGGATGAAAAGAAAGCACAGGAGAAATCCAAGGCCAAGAAGCAAGCCCAGGCAAAGGAAGCTGAGGGCAAGGCCAAGGAACCACCAAAGTAGATTTTCTTTTCCTTTTTTTTTTTTTGGGGTTGTTTTTGGAGCCCGGAGATACTTCAAGCAAGCAAATCGAGGAAGTATCTCAATGGTTGTGTTTTAGGGCTTAATTCGCAGATTAAGCCCCCCCCCCCCAAAAAAAATTAATTTTAATAAAATGACATTCTAAATGAATAGTTAATAAAATGTCAGCCTAGATATTTATATATATATTTTTTGTTTTTGCATTTAATTCTGCATTAATTTTGCTGCTCTAAAGCTTAGCCCAACGGCAATCCCAGTGGCTTTTTCTGTATTAAGATATTATGCGTGGCAGAAAGCTGGCTTGGCTTGGCTTGGCTTTCAAGATGGTAATTAAAGGCCATGGAAATGTTGTGGCTTGAGGGGAAAAATATGAATAAGAAACTAGTGCGATGCTTGCACCCTTGGCCAGAGGACACGCCCACCCCATAGGCGTTTTTCCACTCCACTTGACTGTGTCGACAGTCGACGACGCTGTGTTTGTGTGTGTGTGCGTGTGGCAACAATTGTGCTTGTGGCTTTGGCTGCAACTTGGCCAAGTTTTGTGGCCAGCTGCACGCAATGCAACAGCAGCAACAGCCACAGGACCCCATAGTTTAGCCCAAAAATGAGTTCAAGGCTTTTTTGGGGTTTTCCCCCTTTAATTATGAACCACTCAACGCCAGTCAAGTGTGGCTGTTGCCATTATTGTTGCCCCTGCTGCTACACTACACCACTTGCACTCCCGAAACCCCCCCCACCCAAGTTCAAATGGGCGAAAGTTTTCGTTAATTTTTCTCTGTGTTTCTAGAGCAAATGGGATTTTGCGCCGTGCCGTGCTGTGCCATGCCATGCTGCCTGTGGATAGAAATGTTTTGGGGTTTCCGTTCTCGTGGCAAATCTATGCTAGACAGGCCTCATTATGCTGCTAATGGTTTTTGTGCAGCTCAAACTTTTACAGGTAATTATCGACACTTTGCTTTGGGTCCTTGGGTGCTTGGCTGCTTGGGTCCTTCTTCGTCCTGCCATCGCTTTGCTTTGCAGTTGAAAAGTTAAGCACTGCATTAAGGCAGCAGGGGCTGTCTGCCGATTTGTGGAAGATATACAACGCTTTTCTGTCTGTTCTTTGTTCCCTTTTTTGGGGGGTAATTAGGTGTGTTGTGTTTGCTGGCATCTGGCGCCCTAAAAATATGTCGATAACACTGCGTATGCTTGATAAATTTTGTTGTTTCTTTTTTTTTGAGCATTTGCACTCAAGTGTGAAAATAGTTACTGAAAGTTTTTACACAGTGTTTTCATTACTTGAAAAAGCATGAAATTGGTTGAATCGATAGGAGCACAAAACGGATCATAAACTCAGACAACAAAAAATTACAAACAAAAGTAAATTATATATAAATATAATAAATAAATAATAATAATAATAATAAATATAAAAAGTATTTTTAATGCGGCCTATATTTAATCTTAAATTATAAAACAAATTAATTTTTTATATTTAAAATAGATAAAATAATAAACATAAATGAAATAAAATATATTTCATATTTAAATCTCATATAAAAGAAATGTATTATACATTAAATTTGTAGAAAATACTATTAATATGAAAAATATAATATATTATACATTAAATTTGTAGAAAATACTATTAATATGAAAAATATAATATACCTACATATTAAATATAATATACCTACATATTTCATTTTAATAATATTTCGCACAAATTTAATGTATAATATAATAGTAAAATTAAAATATAATATATTTATGTATAATATATTTCTTTTATATGAGATTTAAATATGAAATCTCTTTTAAATTTTTATTTTATTTTATTTTATTTATTTTAAATATAAAAAATATTTCGTGATTACAGATTCAAATCTAGATTCATTTAATTTCATTTTGTTTTCGATTAAAATTCAATTAAATTTCCATTTCCATATATTTTTATCAAATAACCAAATTCGAGTCATTAGCTTTGTGCTGTAATTAACTCTGATAGAGCGCGAAGGAGATTTCTTTGCTATATTTTAATTAAATATTATACTCAAGTATAGCTCAAATTACCTTTCGCTCTAAAGCCTCCCCTCCCTCCCCCACAGTGCTCGCCTGTGACATTCGAATACGAAAGGTATTTGCTCTCCTTCCCTGCCCCAACACGATGGCGAGTCGCCACTAAATTTTTATGCATGTCGCTTAAGTGCTGAGGCAAATAGCCGACTGGCAGCGATTTTAATTGAAAAATATTTACCCCACACACTAAAAGATTTTAGGCTGGGGGTTGGTGAGGGGAAGGGGGTAGCAGCAGCAGCAGCGTGTTTGACATTTTGACGCGGCCGCGACGACCCAATGAACCCATGAAAAACCCACTCCACAGCATTAAATCTCCAATTTCCCCCCAGCAGTACATATACACACTGTTTGGAATTTTCTTTTAGTCAGGGGGTGAGTGGTGTGTGGGGAGGGGGAGGAGGAGGAGGAGGAGGAGGTTTAATTACTGGCTACGTTTTGCTGCTGTGTAAACTTCAATTAATATGCGAATGAAATCCGCTTAAAAACAAAAGGAGACGGGCAGGGAACAGGCAGAAGCAACGCGGAAAATCGGTTGGAAAATGTTGCCAATCAAGAAGGAGCAGGCCAGCCAGCTACCCCCCGCCCCACCATTCATTTTCTCGAGTGATTTGCGACATTTTGTCATTTTTGCTGATGCAAAGCCTTGCCACTCCACCCGCCGCCACCGCCTCGCCACGATACTCACTCGAAGGAACTTCAAGTTAGAGATGGAGACAAGAGCAGAAAATAAGAGGATGGAGACAAGTGGAGACAAGTGGAGAGCGACAGTGGAGACATTCAAGTACACTAATTAAGATCAAACGTTTTTCGAGGGTCCAAATGAGATTTTATTGAAAGATAAACGAACCCCAAAGACCCACCCCAAGACCATCCCAAGACCCACCCGAAGTCCCCACCAAGACCCTCATTCAAACCATTGTTGTATGTGGTATATTCACGAGTATGCCGAGTATATTCGATATTAAAATCGCATAATGAAGTGTCAGCGAAAATGACACAGCCCCACGCTCCCCCTCCCTACCACCACCCCTCCAATCAAGGATTAACGTCAGACTTGGAATGCGCGAGTGTTCAATCAAAACTCTGAAAGTGTCTTTGCCGTCTCTGTCCCACGCGCATTGTTTGTCGCTGTTTTTTGTGAATTCATTTGGCCACAGGCCACAGCCGGCCGAGCCATCAAGAGGTAAAAAAGCGTCTTTAAGTGGGAGATCGACCACCCACCACCACTGCTGCTGCTGCTGCTGCCCTGGAGCTCAGGTCGCGTCGGTAATTAATGAAAAGTAGAAACAGTGGGGACCGTGGGACAGGCTGCGGGAGAGTGTAACTAATTAAAGCCCCTTAATAAAGTTAATGGATTTCATTTGTACTCAGTCCTTGGTCGAGTGTCCAATGAGCTGTGATGAGATCTTTACCCTCTATATTTTAACCTTATTCATTTTCATTTTCTGTTTTTTTTTTTTAATCTCTTTTTACCTTTTTTTTACTTATTTTTCTTTTTTTTTCTTCTTTTATTTCTTCCTTTTTTTCTACTTTTATTTATTTCTTTTTATTCTTTTATTTATTCCTTTTTTTCTTCTTTTATTTATTCCTTATTTTTTCTTGTTTTGTTTTTGGAATTATTTGCCATCGTTTTGCATTTGTATTAAATGAGGTGTGGCCATGGGAATGACAATTAAATGCTCTTGAAAGTCTTGGATTTGGAGCTATGAAGAGAGAGTTTTGTAATTAGGGCAAGCAAAGAAGGAGAAGAGTGGGAGAGAGAAATTAGACCGATAAAACTAGATTCTTGTTTTGTAATTTAAGTGCGGAATAACGCATTGGATAGCGCATTCATAGACACACATTTCTTCCTTTTTTTCTACTTTTATTTATTTCTTTTTATTCTTTTATTTATTCCTTTTTTTTTCTTCTTTTATTTATTCCTTATTTTTTCTTGTTTTGTTTTTGGAATTATTTGCCATCGTTTTGCATTTGTATTAAATGAGGTGTGGCCATGGGAATGACAATTAAATGCTCTTGAAAGTCTTGGATTTGGAGCTATGAAGAGAGAGTTTTGTAATTAGGGCAAGCAAAGAAGGAGAAGAGTGGGAGAGAGAAATTAGACCGATAAAACTAGATTCTTGTTTTGTAATTTAAGTGCGGAATAACGCATTGGATAGCGCATTCATAGACACACACACACACACAGCCTAATATACTCCCAGTGGCAATGGGTACTTCGTTCGTACGATCACCTTAAGGCAGCGCAGTCTGCAGAATGCACAGCTGAACGACTGAACGAAACCACACGAGCAGCAACGCTGTGGAGAGAGAACGAGCCAGCAATAGAACAAAACCAAATGGTTTTCTTTTTGTTGTAGTTGCTTTGCATAAGATTCTAACTGCATAGAATATTAATAATATTAATTAATATTAATATTTATCAAACGACAGATCAGTCGCAGCCAGAAGGTAAGGCAATTAGAGAGGAAAAATTTAAAAACACATTTAAAAAACATTTATAAAACTTGAAAAAATAAAAAAATATATATATATAAAAAAAAGTTAATAACAAATTAAAATAAAAAAAAATATATATAAATGAAAATAATAAATATATATAAATTAAAATAAAAAATATATATAAATTGAAATAATAAATATATATAAATATATTCCAAAAAAAGCAGTAAAAATAACAACAAAAACAAATAAGTTTCACTTGTAGCACTAGGAAAAAATCAAATAAATACAAAAAAAAAATACAATGTAAATTGCAGCCATCATTTTGGCATAGCTTTGCTCTCGCCGTCTCTATGCATGCACGGGGCTTGCATGGCAGCGTAATAGCTCCATCAATAATGCTACTATTTCTCCATTTTTGTTTTCTATTATTTATTATTATTTTCTATTTATAGTAAAGTGCAAATCGACTTATGCAGGGCATTCAAAATTTCACATAGGCCATTAGTGCCCGCTCCTACCTTTCTCCCTTACCCCGCACCTAACTTGTTCATAAATATACATAATTAAATAAACTGTGATTTTGTCCGTTATGTGTGTGTGTGTGTGTGTGTACTTACTCGCAATTTTCATGCTT